TTTTTTTTTTTTTTTTTTTTTTTTGAGACGGAGCCTCAAGCTATCCCCCTGGGTAGAGTGCCTGGCATCACAGCTCACAGCAACCTCCAACTCCTGAGCTCAAGCGAGTTTCCTGCCTCAGCCTCCCAAGTAGCTGGGACTACAGGTGCGCGCCACAACGCCTGGCCATTTTTTGGTTGCAGCCATCATTGTTGTTTGGCGGGCCTGGGCTGGATTCGAACTTGCCACTTAGGTGTACGTGGCTGGCGCCCTAGCCGTTTGAGCCACAGGTGCTGAGCCTACATTCATATTTCTGTGCAACCAACACAACCATCCATCTAGAGAACTTCATTTTTCCAGATTGAAATTCTGTACCCAGTCATTTCTCCTTCTCTCTCCAGCCACTGGCAACCACCATTCTACATTTCTGACTCCATGAATTTGACAACCCATGTATGTGTATAAGGGGAATCATATAATATTTGCTATTTCGTAGGTGGCTTATATCTCCTAGCATGTCTTCAAGATTCGTCCATGTTGTAGCATGTGTCCCAAGTTTCCTTTTAAGGTTGAATACTATTCCATTGCATGTATATATCGTCATTTGTTTATCCATCTTCAGTGGACATTTAGATTGCTTCCACTTTTTGACTTTTGTGAATAATACTGCCATAACATTGGTGTGTACACATGTGTTTGAGTCCCTGCTCTCAGTTCTTTTGGGTATATATATGGGCTTAGTGAGCCCATGCTTACTTGTGTTTAGTTTTTTGAGGAAACCTGGTTACTTTTAGATGGTGGCACTTGGCCTTGTCTATGAGGGATGGTGCTTCCTCTAGCGCATTGATTTTTATCCTGTGTGCCTTAGCACACTGGTGCACCATGATAGTATCTTAGATGTGTTGTGAAAAATTTTAAAGATCATTAATTATTTTCAAAAGAAGGTAAAATCACAGTAAGTATATTCTTTCTTTCTTTCTTTCACTTTTTTTTTTTAAGAGACAGAGTCTCACTTTGTGCCGTGGTGTCATAGCTCACAGCAACTTCGAGCTCTTGGGTTTAGGGCGATTACCTTGCCTCAGCCTCCTGAGTGGCTGGGAGGATGGATCTCCCGTAGGATGGATCTAACTATAGGCACCCATCACAACGCTCAGCTATTTTTTTGTTGCAGTTTGGCCGGGGCTGGGTTCAAACCAGTCACCCTCAGT